TTTTTGGAAAGATATTCATGTGGGATTTTGGGAACCGGAATTATGGAATTAAGGAATTTATTGTTACTTCGGTAACAATACCATATGCTGATCTTGAATCTAACTCGAACCAGACTCGAACTCGTATAACAGTTCGGTTCGAACTTCGAACCTTTCTTGAACTCAAGCCAAAGTCCGGTTCGAGTTTGGTTCAAATTTCGAACCAGACTCGAACCCAGGCAAAAGTCCGGTTCAGTTCGGTTCATAGGAACACTAACTACGTATTGGTACCAGTTAATGTTAAACTGGAACCCACAAAATTTTTTGTTATAGTTTGAAAATAATATTTATCGTTATTTATTCTATTAATTACAAATAATCGATCAGTGCGTAGAATTGATTATATCGATGTCGATATTGTGATTTAAATTAAAAATACAGTGTGTTAAGAAAAAACCGGAACATTGTTCACATAAGTTGGATCTGATCTGTAATGTCTGCCTCTAAGAAGGAAGGGCAACGCCAAGTTCTATTACATTTGTGGAATGAGGGGATGCACAATATATGACAATATAAAAAAGGGGAACATGACATACCGATGGAAACGTCGGTCGACGATTACTAGAGATGTCTCAAAAGCACTTGAACAATGTATTCGTAGAAACGCTTCCATTTCAACGCAGACTTACAAAAAAATAGTAAGGATTCGAACCGATTTATGATTACCTGACCCGCATTAAATTGGTTTAACTCGGATTAACCCAGATATCCAGTTTAAATCATCCGGGACTTTAATGCTGCACATCACTTGTTAATTCCGGCCAAGGGACTTTAGTGCTAAGATTTATTTGCCCGTGTCTGCGGACGCCAAGAATCGCCGGGTGATGAATAAAGAGATGGTTCGAATCTCTAAAAAACAGTGCAGAAGTCTCCGTTGTAACTATTTCCAAGCATTTGGCCGACATTGAATATTCAAAAAGTCTGCTAAGGACCTTATGCTTCACAAAAGAAAGTGCGTAAAGCGGATCTAAGCTCATCCAAATGACGACTGGAAGTGGACTTTATTTTCGGACGAGACAACCTTTCAACTCTTTCGGAACACCGTGGAACGTTGGCATAAGAATAGTACGACCGACTCATCCTATGCCAAAAGACCAGGTAAAATTTTTTCATGGGTGGCTTCTGTTTTAAGTGTACAATGAACTTATTTTGTTTCGATGGATCAAGAATTCCGAGTTCTACGTCGAAATCATCCAGCAACACATTACAGAGATTAATTGGTTGCTTCGAGGAGGCTGGCGATTTCAGCAAAACAATAACCCGAAGCACACTAGCCGTTTCACCACCCTACTTCGTGACAACATGCCAGAAGTTATGGACTCAGCCCAGATCTGAATCTGATTAAAAAATCCTCGGGTGATTATGTAAACTAACAGATGCCCAAAAATCTTGATGAATTGGAGAAATATTCTGCGGACTGCTCTAATTAATCTTGTAGGGTCGGTGTTGTAAACTCGTTATTGAAAATTATGGGAAACGAATTGTTTATTGAAACGTATAATAAAATCTGTTGGCTTCAGCTTTTAAACATGCTATAGCGAGTTAATTTCTTTTTATTCCGCTTTTTTCTTAACACACTGTATGTAATGTATTAGCAGCCTTTGCTGCCGTTGCCGCTGCCGTTGCTGCTGTTGCTGCTGCCGCTGCTGCTGCCGTTGCTGTTATTGTTGTAGTTGTGGTTGTGGTTGTGGTTGAAATCATTATAGTTGATGGTGTGGAACTGGTTGATATCAATAATATCATTGAAAATAAGATCGCTACTGTCATTTATTTGATTGTCGTTGTCATTGATTTGATTGTCGTTGCTATGAATGCTGCTGCTGTTGTTATTGTCGTTATTATTGTCATTGCTACTAATGTTATTGGAGTTATTGTCGTTATTGCCGTTATTGCCATCGTCGTTGCTATTATTGTCGCCATTTGCGATAAATGGGTACTTTTGACCATCTCGATAATGAGATCCATATTGATGGAGGTCATATTCATCAGTTGAACCTACACTTGGTATTCTATCATCATTTTGATGATTTTTACGAAGTTCAGTAATCAGTTCTCTGCTGAGATTTCTGATTTCTGATTGTAAGCCTTCATTGTCTGATTTCAATCTTTCATTTTCTGATTTCAATCTTTCATTTTCTGATTGGGATCTATCTTTTTCTGATCGTAATCTTTCATTTTCTGATTTCAATCTTTCATTTTCTGATTGTATTCTTTCATTTTCTGCTCGTGATCTTTCATTTTCTGCTCGTAATCTTTCATTTTCTTCAGCTTTGCGGGCTCTTTGTTTTCTGGCTGTAATATGTGTGTGCAATAACAAAAATTACAGGTTTATATTAGAATAAAGGATCTGGTAGGATTCACCAACACTGATGACATATAGTTTTACCAATACGACATTTCACCGACGCCATTTACAACCCATTTCACTGACACTGACTGACTATAACGATAATGGATTATTGCATAAACTTGTGCATTTAGATAAATTGTCGTCAGTAAAACGGGGTGTCGGTGAAATGGGTTGTCGGCAAACCAAGTACATCTCTAGAATGAATTGAACGTAATGAAGAAAAACATACAGTCTATGGCAGCTTTTGTGTTAGACAGTGGCTTCTTCGAGTTAGGTCGTGGCATTTCTAAACAAAGAGTTTTACGAGCAAAAATATTATCCCTTAAATTCAGGGCAGATTTGCAGAATAAAGTTCAATTTATTACAAAAAAAAATTATTAAAATTTGTAATAGAACGGTTTAAGGAATAAAATGTGTAGAAACCACGGAGTGTGATCTCTTCGTTTTATCTTCGATGGCAATCGATGGTAATCGATTTTTTGTGCATTGTGTCAATGCATGCACGAATCTTTCCATTTCTATTCATTATATCCAGGTACAACTTTTGATTGGACAACAAGCGATAGCGTCAATGATTTATTTCAAGTATCGTTATCGTTATACAACCAGAACTAATAAATTACGTAGCAAAGGCGAGAAATAAATGCAAAGAAATAATCTGTAGAAAGAATTATCAGAAATAAGTATAGAGGTATGGAATTTTCGAAGTTTAGAACACTTGAAAAAATGAAAATTTCCTTATGGAAGAAATTCGTCAGAACAATTATAAAAAACCACATTTACTTTATGTTGAAAAGTATTCTTTCATCTTTCAGAAAAACATAAATTGGAGAAACTCAAACCGTATCGATACTTATATAGAAAACCATACAATATCTACACGTTATCGTTATTTACATGTAATTCTCACCAGCAATGTTGTGCGTTTACATTTACCAGATGTAGTGCAATCAATAATAATGATAACGATAATTATAATACCTGCAGTAATTTTTCATTCAAATCTTTCCTTTTTAGAACAGAAAGCTTTCTTTCATTGTTGATTATCCTTATATGATCTTTATTAAATGTATTAGCTTAAAAGTTTTTTTTTGTTAGCGTTAGTTTCGTTTTCATTGGTGTTTGCATCCCTTTATCTTTAAAAAAAACATCTTATGGATTTTCCTTTTTTTTGCACATGAGTATGTTTACAAACAAGCTTTTTTTATCGAATGCAGTAATAAGAATGCTCATAGCGATAGAAATCATTTATTTTATAATACGTGTATTGCTTCCAAGAATTGTAGAACAAGAAACTTTTTATTCAACCCTCATGTAAATAGAATCATTTTTAAATAAATCGTTAGCGTTAGAAAAATTAGTCTTATACAATATACACAAATATAATAGCATATATACAAAAATGTCAGTCTTACATATTGATGATCACACTACGTAAATCGGTCTTTTTCTCATAGTCATGAGGACTGAAAAAGCTGCAGTCCTACACAAAATTATTTATCATATGATTGAATTGTTATCTTAACCAAATTCAATATAATTTATGTACCCGTGTACTAACTGTACTTTCTTTTATCTTTGTGTTCATTTATTTCTATTAAAGCTATAAACAACAAGCATAATTAAACGAATACATGTACTTTTATTATTCTGTTGATTTATTTAAAATTATCCCTTTAACTCGTTATTAAAAACTAACCAATCAATAGTTAAATGCATATAAATGAAATTTAATTGCATCATCTTTTGTTCATAATACGTAATGGCATCATTTCGTGACAAAAATAACAAGACAAAAAATTCAGCATAATATCGCATATCCGATACGTACGTAATATGAAAGGAATTAACTTTCATTAAAATTATTATTGCATTATCTTTATAGATAAAGCAAAATTATATTTTTATATTGTAATTGTAATTGTAGTTTACTAGTCTAACGTACAAAAATAAGTCTCATGTATCAAAAAAATTAGATACAGATACACAAATTTTCTGTGGTATAATTTTGATTCTATGATAAAAAAAGTACATGCAAATGGTATACGTAGCCATGTTTACACCAACTTAATATACAATTCATTGACTGCTATTGTTATAAACAAAATTAACTTTTTCTATTCCTTTCATTTATCTTTATTTAGTGAAAGTAAAGATCACCGTTAAATTGATGGTATATACAGTCAGTAAATACATATATGGAGAATTAGTTATGCCGAAGGAAATTAGAAGTATTTTTAGGTTGTCATCGTTATATTGTGATTTTAATTAATCATCATTATAACGAGTCTCGTTATATTGAACTTTGACTGTATGTACATGTATATATCGAGACACTATAATATTTGTTGAAGTGAATATTGCTAAACGCTAAAAAATCTACTATGAATAAATTTGTTAATTTATAAATGTATAAATGTTGTTATTGCCATATTCTATTACTATTTGAGAGTCGAATATGCAGGTGATAATCAAGAACGATAATGATAAAGCAACAATTATCACAAATTAATCTATTCTTTCGGCATTTTTATTGCTTCTCTTAAGTTAGCGAAAAATTGAGTATGAGATCGGACCAAATTTTATATTTTTATTTCAAAGGGCCCCAGTACTCATACGATGGGAGACAGCATAAATAATCCACTCAGGTTGGATTTTTAAAGAGTTATAACTTCTATACATGAAACAAAAATCCTTTTTAGCCAACCACTTGATCCCAGCTACAATTTGGTTAAAGAAAATTTTTTGTTTCACTATAGAACACGAGTTATAACCCTTTAAAAATTCAATCTGGGTGGATGATTTAGGCTGTCTCCCCCGGTATATAAAAAATGGAAAGTTAATTGATACCATATGCTAAATATGATAAATTGATACTATATTTTATTGATAATTTAGTAAGCGCAGAATTGATTGATTATTCTCATAGTTAGTTTCAGTTTCATGAGGATCGATTTTAAATGAACCATTGTTTTTATAATAGTCTTATATTTATTTATTCACAAAATCCTAAAACTATTTATGGATGCTAATCTACTTTACTCATTTGATTAAAGTAAATACTTCTTTGAGGAGTAATTATCGCTAAGTTAACGCTAGAATTTCGACTTTCGAATATGCTGATTTTGCCAGCTTCGACTCCGATCTCTCAAATGGAAGAATAGAAGTTGCATGAATGTTTATGTATGGCGCAGGACCGGTAATATTACCGGTCGGTTTACCATATGTTTATTATTAACATTAATGTTAAACCGCGGTTTTTGGAAAACCAAAAAGATCCACATGTTTGAAAATACAGTACAGGTATTCTACATGTATTAATTATACAAAAATACAGTACATGTACATGTACAAATAAAAAAATCAGTTATATCGATATTGCAATTTAGATTAAAAATACAGTTATGTTAAGAAAAACCAGAAAATTGTGCACGTATTGTCTGCTTCTAAGAAGGACAACACCAGGTTCTATGCGCGATGCTAGTGACTACATGCACGCACAAACAACAATATTAAAAAACCAAAAAACAGGAACAACAGGACACGCCAGTGGAAAGTGACCCAAGCTCATTGAAATGATGACTGGGAGTGGACTTTATTTTCGGACGAGACGGCCTTTTCAACCCTTCCGGAACACTGGGGGCATAAGAGCGTACGACCAACTCGTTCTATACCAAAAAAAGTTTGCGTGGGACGGCTTCTGTATAAGAATACGACGACTTGTTTTGTTTTCGACGGATTATGAATGTTGAGCTTTATGTTGAAATCATTCCAGAGATTAATCGGTTGCTTCGAGGAGGCTGACGATTCAACAAGACAATGACCCGAAGCACACTAGCCGTCTCGCCGAGGTCTTTCTTCGTGAGAACATTCCAGAAGTTATGGATTGGCTGTCCGACAGTTCAGATCTGAAATCTTTGGGCGATTGTAAAAGTAACGTAGAGAAACAGGTGCCCAAAAGTCTTGTTGAATTGGAGCGATTCACGGTGAAGGAGTGGAGAAATATTCCGTGGACCGCTCTAATTAATCTTGTAAGCGACGTCGTGAAATAATTATGGAGAACGAATTGTTTATTGAATTGTATAATAAAATCTGATGGTTTTCAGCTTTCAAACAAGCTATGATTTAGTCCATCTGTTGAGGCATAGCAAGTTAATTTTTTTATTCCAGTTTTTTCTTAACACATTGTTTGTAATGAATTAGTAGCTCGTGCCGCTGCTGCCGCCGCTGCTATTGTTATTATCGTTGTTATTTAAATTTAATAATTCGCGGATAAAATCGTCGCTGCTATTGTTATCGCCGATAAAAACGTCATTAATTGGATTGCCGCCGTTGTCATTTGTGTTGTTGCCATTGGTGTTGCCACTATTGCCGCCATATGCGGTAAATGGGTACCTATGACCATTTGGATAATGAGATTGAAGGGATCTATCATCATTTTGTTTTTTACGAAGTTCAGAAATAATCTGTTCTTGCATCTTAATTATACATTGCTGTAACTCCTCGGTTTTCTTAGTTTCCTTTTCTAATCTTTTTCTAAGATCCGATAGTTCTCCGTCGAGATTTAGAATTTTCGATCGTAAGCTTTCATTTTCTAATCGTAATCGTTCATCTTCTTCAGCTTTGCGGGCTCTTTGTTTTCTGGCTGTAATAAATGTATGTGTAATTAGAAAAATTAGAATAAATTATAGGTTGGTTTGAATAGAAAAAATACATGTTATGGCATCCTTTGTGTTAGACAGTGGCTTCTTCGTAGACCGTGGCATTCTAAATAAAAATAGTTTCTACGAGCAAGAAAATATTATCCCTTAAACCGTTTGAAATTTAGGACAAATTTGCAGAATAAATAAGAATACTATGAAGTTTATAAAATAGCAAATTTAACACTTTATATTTTTATTTCTTTAAAAGAATTTCAATTTATAATTCAATATAAAATGATCTGGGATTTAACTTTCTATTACCATTCTACAATTCAGGGCGAATTTGCAGAATAAATTTTTGAAAGTTACTAATTCTATAATAAAGTTTTAAAAAAATAATATATTTAATACTTTATCCTTTTATTTTTTTTAAAAAGAATAGTTTCAATATTAAAATTATCTACTTTCTATTACTATATCATTTTAACATTCAGGGCAAATCTGTAGAAGAAACGGTTTAAGAGATAGAATGTGTAGAAACCACCACAAAGTGTGAAATAATGGATTGTTTTCTTCTTTTTATCTATAAGCAGAACGGTTTAAGAGATAGAATGCGTAGAAACCACCACGAAGTGTAAAATAATAGATTGTTTCTTCTTTTTATCTATAAGCATTGATTTTTTATCGATAGTATAATCGATTTTTTGTCGAAGGTATATCGATTTTTTGTCGAAGTATAATCGATTTTTTGTCGGCGGTATAATCGATTTTTTGTCGGTGGTGTAATCGGGGTTTTTTTTGCTGTACGATCTAGTGCATTACGTTAGAGGGACAATGTAAATATATGCATGCATGCATCTATTTTTATCATTACACCAATTAGCCTTCTATAGTTGCACCCTCTCTACGATCCTGGTACATGTACCACCTATTATGAAACATAGGAAATTGGACCTCTATATAGTCACAACCTCTTTAAAATCACATTTTTTTTGATTATATGGAGGTATTACATGTACTGTTTAAGATGAGAATAACGATAAATGCAATTTTCCTTGGAATGATTCGTAGAATGTATTGGCAGAAATAAGTATGATAATATTGTAATTTCCAAAATTTTAAAACACCAGAGAATATTCCCTGTCGCTATAAAGAAACATTAATTTTTTGTTGTTTTATTTTGAAAAGTTAGAGAAATTCTAACGTTAATCGCTGTATTTATAAATTTTTACGCGAACAATACTATCACCATTATTTGTTTGATTGTACGCATGCATTTATCAACTACGTATAGCAATATCATAACTACAGTCATTCAATTTTTTCCTTTTTTAGAACAACAGTTTCTTTTTCATTGTTCGTTCTCCTTATATGTTTAATAGAGGTACTGTTTATAAATACGCAAATGGTTATCGTTATAGATTTTCCTTTTTTAAAAGCATTTTATTGAATAGAATAACGATAACAATAAGAATATCAATAATCATACATTTATTTAAAGTAATACGTACATGTGCAACGGCATCAAATAGTAATTGGTAAATTTTATAAAGTATATGCTACAATTTTAAATAATTAATTTAGTAAACTACGTTGAATTTATATTAAATTTTTTACCACTTCATATACTGTACCTTTACCACATCACGAATTCGTTCTGGCATAGAACGAATCAAATCAGTACAATAATCGACATCAACTTCTTCTCAAACCTGTTGTATTCCCAGAGGTCATCCTTACCCGAAATTGGCTCCGAAGACGACGATCGATTCATTCCACAAGTGTTCACTTGGATTGAGATCGGGGATTGGGGCAGCCAATCAAAACTGACACACCATTATCGACAATCCACTTTTTTGTATCATTGGTCGTATGTTTGGGATCATTATCTTGTTGTAAGTAATGATACTTGACGATGAGGAAACCTTTCGTCACGAACATTTTGAAAAGACGAAACCTTCTGACCAATAAAATACCAGTTGATGCCTAACGATGATGACCATTTTTGGAAATGAACGAATCAATAATACATGTACTGGTACATGTATTATTTTCACGAAACCTTTCGCCATGACCACGAATCGTCTGAAGAACGACAATTCTGGCAAACTAAACCAAAAAACAATAGGTCAAGTCAAGTTTATCAATTATTGGTTTATTTTTTGCATAATGTTTACCAAATATATATTTAAAATTACCGTACGGCACTGACTACAGTACCCCCTGACTATAGTACCCCTTGAAAAGTACCCCCTTCTCCACCAATAACCGGATTTGTGAATAGTACCGGGTACTGTGGTCAGTGCCGTACATATACTTTTCTCAAGTTTTCATAATGCTGACCATAATTTTGATCTTCAGCCAATCAAACACATGTACTAGATTTCTAATGACGTAAAATTCTTTTAAAATTCGGAATAGGCACTTATCAAATAGCAAATGACCTAATTTTGTCCATCACTGTGCATTATTTTGATTGGTCAAAAGGTTTCGTTAATCGTCACAAGTTTCGTTAATCGTCTGGGTTTCGTCCGATGAATGACGAAACCTTTCGTCAGGAAAATAATTTCGTCAGGTATCATTATGGAAGATAATTTCATTGATAGTGAAACCATGTTGCTCAATAATATTCATAATGTCTTCTGTAAGAATTAATCGGTATAACTCTTCATCATTGTCCCATCAATTTTGCAAAAGTTGCCAACACCACGAGAAGTAAGGCAACCCCATATCTCACTTCCCCACCACCGAATTTAACCGTAGGCTTAATATGTGAACTTTTCAATGGTTCATCCGGTTTTTTCTTGAACTTTGATTCATTGGACATATTACCTTTGTCCAATCTTCAAAGTTATTTTTTAGCGAATTCAAGTCGACGTTTTATGTGTTCTGGCTTTAGGTATGGCTTTTTTCTTTTAATTCTTGCTACAAAACCATTATTTCGTAGTGTATGACAAATAGTATATCCGAGATTTCAAGATTTTCTGCTTCGAGTAAACGTTTTTGAACTTGAACAACGGTGGAATAATCATGAGAAGTAATGAGCCGAAAAACTTGTCTTTCTTGTCGCTCATATAATATGGACGACCGGATTTGCTTGTATTTTGGAACGTATTTTTTTCACGCCATATTTTGTGTATACGAGAAACCGTGGAAGGACTAATATTTCGCGCTCTAGCTATCCCTCTTATAGTATATCCATTATTGAGTGAAATAATACTTTCGTCTCGTTCGTTTTGAGTAGTGTGGGATTTTTGCGGCTTACTTTGTTTATTAAATAACAATAATTGCAACATGATACAAGGTAACAAAGATATCGCCGACCCATGTGTAGCATTATTTATACTGAGGGATTTTTGTGTTTCTCAAATCATGATTAATATTTTTCGAGATTAAATATATATCAACTTAGTATACAAAGATGGGATTTATGATTGGCAAAGTCGAGGGTAAAATTACTTTGTTAGTACCGGTTCTTGTATAGCGTTATTAAGAAGAAAAATGTCGATGAGTTGGGCATAGAAATCGGTCCAAGTAAAGAAGATAACGTTGGGGGGGGGGATGATAAGCCTGACAAACGAAATCCCAAACACCCGACATCCCGAAAACTCAGCATTCCGAATTCCCAAAATCCCGATAATTTAAAATTCCAACACATAAAATCATAGAAGTTGCATATATACTATTTATTTTATACTATATTTTGGGATGTTGAGTTTGGGATATTAGGTTTTCGGGATGTTGGCGTTCGGGATGTTGGGTGTTCGGGATGTTGTGTTTCGGGATTTCGTTTTTCGGACATATGGGTCGTCAGGATTTTGTACGGTACTCCTAGGAAGAGTCTCTTTATGAGTTATTTTTCCGGTACTCACCGATTTTATAGTGGTTTAATCCTAAGTATGATCTAGAGCCAACTTGTTTTGCTAGCATATGATGTCAATATATGATGCTCGACACGAAGACCTGACACCATCTACACAATAAACTTATAATTAAAAATATACATATCGTTCCATCAAATGACAAAACATCAAAGAATGGTGAAGTTCAAAAAATATTGTAATAACTCAATTCTGTAATTTATTTGACCAAAAGAAAAAGTATAGGTTTTCAAAGCACAGGGCAGTAAATAAAGTATAGAGTTGTACGAAATCACTGATATACTTTAGAGCCTATCGCTATATCTTAGTAATTATACACACAATCCACATATTTAGCTTTGTTCAATTTATCACTGCCACAAAGTACATCGGCGAAATACATATTCTTCCTCACCGACGTAACAATTAGGATCTCTTATAATTATCACGCGTAATTTCTTCTCCGACTGTAAATTAGCGTTTATAGCCATTTCTATCAACATCTAACGGAATATAGGCTTTGTCATACTTTTGGCAAAATTTCTGATACTTGATTAATTTTCGATATTTGACGTCAGTAATTCGAGTTCAAGCTGACGAAAATGTTCAAGCGCCTCCATATCACAATCGGAAAACTTGACAATTCCTTGTCGCCAGAAATCATCAGAGTACGTTCGTGGCGCTGGTGGCAGGTTAGTGCACACAAGACCATCACTGGAATATAGATTTGGCTTAGGATGCGCCTGTCCCATTTTTTTCGAAAGAGTGACAAAACTCAATACTTAAAAAGCCACATCCTTTTTTAATTCAAAATTTTACGTAATCATTGGTGTTAAACTTTTATCCGATTGTGAAAGCAATGACATAACATCATAATGTTAGAGACTCATGGCTATACTAGTTTCTTTAGCAGATACAGAAAAAATGATATAATTAAAAGCTTTAAAGAGGAACAAAAAATATGAAAAACTTATTTCAGGTTATTAAAAAATATATATCGATATAAATAATTATTTTTTAAAAATATAATATTAATAGAATATACCAGGAAAAATTTCATTTGCTTTAGATGCATGAACATCTACTAATAGTTATGTCTTTTTAGCTATTACAACACATTGGATTACAAAAGATTGGAAGCTTCAAGATAAATTATTGGATTTTATAGATCTTTTTGATCCTCATTCTGGTGGGCATAAAGTATAAAAGAAAAATATAAACTAGAATTAATGTAATTAATATCCGATTATATTCACAATATAAATATATCTAGTTAGTTTACATTCTTTAAATTGATTTGCTATTGATTTTTGTATTGTATTATTTTTTTTAGCGAAAGTACGAGTCATTCGAGTCGGGCGAGTTAAATTCATATACGGATCGGGTCGAATTCGGGTTGCATAAACCCTGGGTATTATTATATTTTAATTTTTATACTCGGGTCGAGTTCGAATATGCCCCAAACCCGACCCGACTCGATCCGTTCGGAGCACTATGCGAGAGATCAATGATTATTTCTATTCATTAAATTTCTCTCGCTATCTATTGAATTCTTCTGCTTAGCTATCCATAACTTCAATGACTACAGTTTTTTCTGAGGGTTCTTATTATACATCTGTGAACTTTACAATAGCACAGTAATCATGAGAAAATCTTGCAAAAGATCCGGATTATTTGTTTTTAAGTGTTCATAAAGTTTCTAATAATCAAAGGCACCTGTTGTATTGCTAAAGTTATTTTTGATGATAATAAAGCCACATTCTCTATCACTACCACATATATACTCATATTTGTCCTAATTGAGCAATTATAAGTATTTCTTTGGGTTATCGATAAACTTTCCGCTGGTTATACGCCCATTGTTCCTTGACTTACCCATATTAACATATAGAATTGTTATTCAATATATAGATAATACTTGTTTCAATTTTTTTGAACATTACGTTTATATAATATTAATTTGTATCGAGATAAAATTTTATAACCGAAAGGTATAACTAAATTTCCAGGTTTTATTTCCGATCCACACGTCAACACTTCACACACCGCATACACGCATACACACAATTAAAAGATAAGCCAGAGAAAAATAAATATGGGGCGTAATTATCGTAATAATGCGTGTTTTTGCTCTTTTCATCAAGCAGAATAATAATTGCGCTGTCCACACGCAGATCTCATCCCGCAAATTTCTTTTTCGCCTCATATTAATAATACTCATATGACGTGAAAACAGTGTGTTTCTAAATTATTAACAATAACTACCCGAATTATGCTGTGCGGAGGACGTAGTCTCCTATCGTTAGCTAAAATATAAATAGCTAGTATAACAGCCAGATGTCACATTCTTATATACACAAAGAATTATGGTTTCATTATCGTTATCTCGAACACAATTCCTGTATCTGTCTCTTCACAAATGAAAAAAATAACGATATGCAAATAACAGTCACACCCTCTTACCTTTTTCCGGTTCCAGTTATTATAAGCATAAAACGTTTGACCTCCATAGTGGTTGGAATCGAATCGAATAACCGAAATTTGACCTAAAGTTCGAATTATTCAAATCAACATAATAATTGAATTTCTAACACACATACAGTGACTCATTAAAGAAACGGAACACGGAAAAAAATGGCGAGACTCGAATAACTCGCCATTGAAGAATTATCGAAGACCAAAAGAAAGTGAAATTTATTCATAAAAATAATAATCATTTGAATTTAAAATAGAATTTTTTATCGTCTATTATGACCGATCTGGAGGACAATATTTAAAGGCGAGTTTCTCCTTAGAATTGCTAAAAAAAACCACCACATTACTAAGCTAAGACTACCATCCCTATATGGGGTGAGTGCAGTAGAAAGTACAATTATAATCAGATCAAAAATCACCCTTTTTATTGCACTCGTCACATACATGTATATCACACCTTGCCTGTATCACATCACTGGTATCGAATTGCTCAAACTTTCGCAAAAGTGCTCTTCCAAGCAATTTGTAGCTTTTCCCACAAATGTTTTATTTAAAAGTGGGCCAGGAAGATTCCGCAAGCGTGTATCGATTTCATTCTATAAATTTTTAATTGGATTTAAGTCAAGTAACTGAGCGGGTCAATCAAGCAAAGTAATGTCATTACCAAGAAACCATTGCTTTGCTTTACTGGACGTATTTCTGGGGTCGTTGTCTTGCTGGAATATGAACCCACTGCTTCCAGCATTTTCTCCCAGACTGTACCCAACAAATTATCATCCAGTATATCAGCGTCCATTATGCCATCGATTTTTCGGAGTTCACCAACTTCGCTGCAGTCAGGCAGCCCCAAATCGTAACTGCTAAATTTTACGGTTGGAGTAACATGGTGATCTTTTAATTGTTCACAGGCTTCTTCCGACCCAATTAATCGAAACTTGCTTTCGTCGGACTAAATTATTTTCCGTCAGTCGTCGACCGTGCAATTTTGACTTTTTTTGTCCATTCTAATCAGCATTTTTTGTATGTGTTTTTTAAGTAATGGCTTTTTTCGCTTAATTCTTGCGAATACATCTCTTCTAAACATACATCGTATGCTTTCCACTGAAATTTTGGCTTCCAGTTCAGTTTGGAATTTGTGTTGAACTTGGATGGTGGTAGCACATTTTCCAGATGATATTAATCGGATGACATTCTGTTCGTAACGATCTGAAAGAATGGATGGATGACCGAGTTTTGAAGTTTCTGGTTTCTTCTTTGTTTTGCAGATGCGTTGGACCGAAGCTAAGCCACCTGTTCCGATAATGTAATTTCCTGGACCGAATATCCTTCTTGTCGTAGAGTATATGTTTTTCTAGTGAATGCGGAACATTTTGGAATGAAAATTGTTAGAATAATGAAAATGTGTTCTGTAGAAAGTGTAGAAAAATTGGTGTTTTATACATATCAATTCGGTCATATTGAACGAACGTTAGCTTGTGAATTAAAAGATATATTAAAATAAAAATTGTATTAAGTGATTATTATTATTTCAATGAATAAATCCACTTTCTTTTGGTCTCCGATAATTCTTCAATGGCAAGATATTCGAATCTCGCCATTTAGTGAGTCACTGTAATTCGAATTTTAGAAATTAAATCGACATAAAAATCTAAAATTCTTTTGAAAAATTTGAATTGAAAATATAATTCGAATTTATTTCTAATTTGAATACAGATGTTTACCAATATACGGACAATTGGCAAATAAAACAATGCAAAATTTAAAGCATTGTTTCATGAATTAGAATTTTATTTTTTCTGACTATTTTTCCATATAATATATTAATCGATTGTTCATTTAGAATGACATCATGAATTAAATCAGGCATATCTTCAATTTATAAAACAAATGGTCACTTTTGGACGCGATAACTTGATGTCCAGTTATCCGGTTCGAACATAAATACTACCACTTGTATGAGATAAATCGAATTACGATAGTTATGTTCAAAATAGATTAAAATACCGCGACTCAAAAAAGATGATTTTGAAAAAAACAATCAATTTTGGACACATTATTATAACTTTCTGTGATCCGTTATACAACCATTCGATCCGTCTAGATTTACATTCGAAATAGATCACTGGATGTTAAGATAATGCACCAAAGTGACCCTCTTATTTTTTGATGATCATGGTTTTTCACCATCTTTTTGGGTCACAGCATCTTGAACCGTTCTGAAAGTAAATAACACTATTTGATCTCGTCCAAGTGAATCGAACGGTAATATTTATGTTCAAGTCGTTTCACTGGTAACATATTTCACATGTCACACATTATTTTGATTGCACAAATCCAACCGCTAAATGGTTATGAAGAGCAGCCGAAATTTTACGAAAACCTGGGTTCTGCTTCGCTCCTTCGAACGCTACGTTGCTTTATTTCGAAAAAAAATGGAAAATTCCCGTTCTGGTGTTACCGAAGTAACATTAAATCTTTTAATCCCATAATTTTGACCCTTAATTTCCACATGAGTATCACCCCATAATAATCTGCATTACGTAGTCTCTTGTACGATTTACATTGAAAACCAAATTTAATTATAAATGGACATTACCTTTTTTCTTGTACATGTATTATGAATATCGATATCCTGTCGTTCTTCAAAGATTTACGCACGTAACGATAGTGATAGTGAAACATCGAATGATTATTAACATAAGTAACAATAGTGATTATCAAAAAGAAGATAGTTATTTTGACAATTGTCTGGACAACTGAAAAACAATAAACAATTATTACTTGGTCGTTTCAAGAGAAACTATTAATGTAAATTACTAACCTTAGGATTAGCGTAGTAATTCAGAATTGTATATAGAAGCGTCTTCGAGTCGCTGAGAAGTCATGCTTTAATCTAATAAAATAACAAAGTTCTTACTTGTAGTAATAGTATTACTTTTGAATACATTATTATTTTGATTAAACTTCAGTGGATGCTCCTCCAAATAAGCCATTGTTTTTCTTTGATTTGATTTTATTTTCTTGAACAGGCCGTATCAATAAGTCCTGTCGAATTAACTTTGTTTTTCTTGGATAGGCCGTGTCAATAAGTCCTGTCACGTTTGTGAATATATCGATCATTGTTGAATAAACAAGATTTTATTATAACAATTTGACTCTTATTACAAGAGTGATTCTACTTTTCAAACATCCCCTCCCCCTATTTGTTGAGAAAAGGTCGATTTGTGAACAAATCGTCACGGGAAACCTTTAGAACAACCGGAGAAACCCTCCAACCGTAAATAAATCAGCCTGACTCTCACCCCGTTGCAGAAAGTTCCTTGAATCGATCGATTATTGTAATAAATACAATAATCTGGTGCCCCCAACCGTCACAGAATAAAATCTTTTTGTTAATATTGTAAGGAACGCAACACTGGTCGTCCACGTAAAATTTCTCCCGAGATGAGTCGTCAATTTGGAAAACTCATAAATGGAAACCATTTTCTTCTCACAGTAGCTGAAATAAAGAAGACTTGACTGGATTTGAAGTAGGTGTTTAAACTGTTCGTGACGAGCTTTATATGCTCGGTTATGTTGCTGCTTTGCTGCGATGCATTCCTTTTCTCACCTAGCGAGCGAAAGAAAACCGATTTCAATAGCATCCAATCACCTTTATAATTAGGTTGTGTTTTCTGATGAGACAACCTTGCAGTTATCTCGTGATACCTGTCTGGCATGGTCGCGCTCCGGAAGAACTCTTCCACCAATGGTGGAACTTCCGTGTACGTGGCAAAGTTGGAATGTGCACGTTTACATAAAATACGGATCGGCATCTGTATCGGAAAATTCTTAACTACATGCATGTATGGTCGTTGGCGCTGGATTTTCCAGCAAGATAATGATCCGAAGCATACCTCAAACGACGTTAAACATGTTTCGAAGTCCGAATATCCGACCGCGTTCTTCCGTGGCCGTCGTACAGCCCCCCCCCCCGATCGATAATGTCTGGGCATTTTTGAAGCGAAATGTGGAAAAAAAGACGAAAAAAATAGTGGCACAAAAAAGTAGTGTCTCACTGGAGGGTTTGTTGCGTTAGTTGAGGAGAAGGAGAATCTTCCAGAAGAGATGATTCTTAACTGTATTAATAATATGCCGAACCGCGTTCAAGCAAGCATTGATGCGGAAGGAGGGCATATCAAGTATTGATTTTCTATATGGACATGTTGCTATTCCGGACGTAATTATTTATTAATAAAATTGCCAGATTTTTTAAAAAATTTGGCCGCCATTATTTTCCGTGCTAAAAATGGTCAGAGATAATAAAATTCTAATTCGTGATGAGGAGGATTGGAGAATCTTCCAGAAGAGGTGATTCTTAACAGTATTAATACATGTAGTATGCCGAACCAATGTTGAACAGTGACCTCAAACTGACCTCAAGTGACTTACTAAATGACCTTATTTTAATATTAAAATTTAGTGACCAGTGACAAAAAGTCACTTTACCAAATAGCACATGACCTGATTTTGTCCATTACTGTACCGAACCACGTTCAAGTTTGATTTTCAATATGGGCATGTTGCGCATTCCGGACGTAATTATTTATTAATAAGAATTTGGCCGCAAATTCGAATTATCAATTCGACCTTTTTTAGGTTCGAATATTTGAAAAATAAAAACCGAATCCGAATTTTCGAATCGAAACTCTAGACCTCCATATAGTTACGACCTCTTTAAAATCACATGTTTTCTGCTCCAGAGGGCGTGATACAGTATGAGGGATGGTTGTATTCTTAGATTTATTATTAAAATTTCTTTATTTACATTAATTCGTATCAATGTAAAAATTCAATATAATTTCAAAAAATAAATGAATTTAACTAAATAAAGAATGAACCAATCTAAAAAATTTCAAAAAATAAATGCTTAAAAAAATGAATTCGAATCAATGCAAAAATATTTGAAACAAGTACAAAATAAATACCAATTAAAAAAGTATCGAATTTACGAACTGATTCGTGAATTCTAATTCAAAAAATAAATGAATGAATTCAAAGAATTCGAATCAAGCTCAAAAAAATAAATGAACTTAAAACAATGTAAAAAATTCGAAACAAGTTAAAAACTAAATGATTTTAATTCGAACTTACGAATTGATTCGTGAATTTAAAATCGGTATAAAAAATTTGAATCAAATTCAAAAAAATTAAACGATTTTAATTTGAATTCACGAATTTGTTCGTGATTCGAATCAAGTTCAAAAAAATAATGAATTTACATCCATTCAAATTGGATTGTGGCAAGTACTAAGGTTACATAATTAGGTGAATAAGTTGAAAAAAGATGGATCAATTAAATATAAAGCAGGAAAAGATGAATTATTTGGATTTTGATCAAGCGGAGATGAATTATTTGATTCTTCATTAGATAACAAAATATTAATCTCTTGATTTGATGGAGAAGCAAGTGATAATGGATTTGTAAAATGTGTATTTGTATAAGCTGTATCTGTATTTTGATCAGGTGAAAGAGGTGTGTTTTCATTGATAGTATTATGAGGTGAATTATTTGATTTTTGGCTAGATAATGAAATATTAATCTCTTGATTTGGTGGAGAAATAGGAGATAATGGAATTTGATTAAGCTCAAGTGGTGTGTTTTCATTAGCAGTAAAAGCTTCACAAATTTTCGTCATCCATTTTGAATCAAGTGATTCTTTTTCTTTTTCCAAGTTCTGTATTTTATCGCACATAGAAGTCTTCTCCATAATCAATCGCTGAATTTCTTCATTATATGATTCTTTTTCTTCTTTTAAAATCTGTATTTTATCACGCATAGAAATTTTTTCCATAATTAATTGCTGGATTTCTTCATCACGTGATTCTTTTTCTTTTTCCAATTTTTGTATGTTTTCAGTTAGCCGTCGAATTTCTTCATCACGAGACTCTAATTTGTTCTGCAAATCGATGAATTCTTGCTTCTTTTTTTCTCGATAGCGTTTAGCTAAATTAATATACCGTTTTTATGAACATATTGAAAGATTATAAATAAAACAAGTTTATTTTTGATATAAATTATAATTACAATATTCATTATTATGGATTTTTTGGTGCTTATTCCCCGTGACTTCTTGCCCCTCTTGAGTGCGCACGCGTTTATTTGAAGTCATTTTAATAAAACGAATTATTTGAAAAGTAATTTTATTGAGAGTAATTAATAAATCACAGGCTACGTATTTATGTATTTTTCTGTTTGTGTAACACTGACGAAGGTTATCGATAGGTGAAATTAATGTTTCCGGTATTATTTCCAAAACTGATATTTATATTGAAAAATTACAAATAACAGTTTATTATTGATCTAAATCAATTGTATTACCGTATATCTCCAAAAATAGGCCACCCTCTTTCAGCCTAAATCGGTGTAAATGCCATGTCCCGAAAATAAGCTACCACCATTTTTTAATAATTTTTTTATTATTAGACCACATTACATTATCACGTTATTCACTTTATTTGAAAAAATGATCGTAAAATGGTTGTATTATTTAATTAAATTAGATTTTACAGGTCATCGCTAACCTCACGCTTTCCCAATGTCAGAGATTTACTAAGAAACCAAACATCCAAAATAACCTTCGAAAATAAGCTACCCTCCATGTTTTGAAGCCTAAAATGTTGCAAACAAGTAGCTTATTTTCGGAGATATACGTTATCAACTACCAATACTATTGATTTTTGTTGCTTAGCCTGAGCTCATTTAATATTTGAAAGTGTGGATATCAACTGATAGTATAGAAGTTAAAGAATTTATTTGGTATAGCGAAGAAATTTCGCGACACACTATATATTACACATATACAATCAGTCGATATCCGAAAATTTTTATACACTGAAGTCATCGGGTCAGCCTATGGACTTCGTTATAGAGTTACTTTAACTCAGAATCTGAAATCTTTGAAGCTACCGTATGGCACTGACCACAGTACTCAAAAAACTTGGTTTAAAATTAAATATACCCGGTACTATTCACGAATCCAGTGATTTCATTGGTGGAGAAGGGGGCACTTTTCAAGGGGGTATTATAGTCAGGGGTACTGTAGTTCCGTCGGTAGCCACGGCAAAGAAACTGGCAGACAATATGATTCCTTCAGGATTCTTACTCGGCATATGGAAAGCGACATATTAGATAGTAAGTAATGAGGTGAAAGTTGGTGAGGTAAAATTTGAATAAATAAATACTGTAATTTTTTAGCCCCTTTTATATCGATATTGCCTATTTCTATGTAAACGTTACAGTACTCACTTCTATAAAATCAACTTTTCATTGGTGAACAATTTGAATCAATCCAAAAGAAGAAATTTTTCATTGTCAACAAAATCTATGTTAGAAAAATTTTCCGTCAAAAAGAAGAAATGTTTCATTGACAACAAAATCTGTCGTTAGAATAATTTTCCGTCTAAAAGAAGAAATGTTCATTGTCAACAAACCCTGTCGTTAGAATAATTTTCCGTCTAAAAAAAGAAATACTTCATTGTCAACAAAATCTGTCGTTAGAAAATTTTCTGTCTAAAAAAAGAAATTTTTCATTGTCAGCAAACTCTGTCGTTAGAATAATTTTCCGTCCAAAAGAAGAAATGTTTCATTGTCAGCAAAAGCTGTCTAAAGAAAAAATTTTCCATTCTAAAGAAGAAATGTTTCATTGTCAACAAAATTTGCCATTAGAATAATTCTCTGTCTAAAAGAAGAAATGTTTCATTGTCAGCAAAATCTGTCATTAGAAAAGTGTTAAAACTGCACAAAAACTAATTGTATAATGATACAAAATCTTATTATTCTTTTTCCTTTTAAAGACGTATCAATATCGTACGTACTACCGTTTCTTGTTGAAAATGAGAAAAATTGTACATGTGGTACTTAGATTTTTGATGCACAATACATGTACATATTTTTCACTTTTTAATCAGTAGTCTTGTGAGATTCAATAAGAATCCATTTAATTACGTAGTTGTACTTGGTTAGCAAAAACGAAGAAACTTGCTTTATCGTTGTATGTATGCTTATACATGTACACTTAATTTATTAGTCGTAAGTTAAACTGCATGTTCTTCTGACAAAACAGAATCAATCGATTTCAATTTTCATAAATAAAATTAATAGATTTCCGTATGTGAGAATATACATGTACTAAAAACGTGAAATCTTATCTCTTATTGCATAATTACATCTAATAACCACCCAATACTCTAATCAAATAAGATGTATTCTAACCACAAAAGAATTTTACTCTTGACTAATATGCTATTGGAATTTCATCAATGCTGAATCTAGTTTAATTTATCTAGTATCTAAAATTCCATAACCATCTAATAATAACTTAATCTTGTCTTGTTCATATTTCATTTCAAATCCTGTTTCTTAATACAGAGAACTCTCCCTAAATGCATACTGGCTCTGTCCCGACTAATATATGACCTCTAATTATTTATTCTCAATAAATGCACACTTTGTCATTTTTTTATATGGTCCCGAGAGGAGTGCACTTAGGGAGAGTTCTCTGTATTATTAAAAATTCTGAAACAATTTCAGTCAAAATCATTTCTAAATGTACAGATGCAAAATTTACATTTTATTCATAAAATATTACAACGAACATATTTAATGGAATTATAAGACAAGAAATTCTGGATTTTATACATTTATAGTACAAATAAACATAAATCAGTGACCTTTTATTCATACTAAATAATTTTACTCGGAATATAATCTTTATATTCTAGTCTTTGCGTAATATAAAACTGAATAAAATTTGTTGAAAATAAATAAATAAAGATAAACAAATCTTAAGTGTTAAAGTCACATAACGATAAAGCAATCGGTAACCTTATGACGTAATCAGAATTATAAGTTGTGTATTGAATTAATTTCAGAAATTCGAAAGTTTACTTACCAACTTCAGTGAATCCTTTTTAGCATAATAAAAAAGGAAACTTAATACATGTAATTGTTTCTTTTTTATCTTCTGCTAACAATATTCATTTTTAGCTTTTGAAATTCGTTTATGTCAGGATTCACTAAATAAACTCACTACACAGTCAAACTCATTAACCGGAGCAGTGATGGTAATGACCAAGTCATTTGCTCATTTTGCAAATGACCTCACATTGAAATAACCCGGTCATTTGTCATGTAATTTATGCTTTAACTAATAGAATTTCAGTGAGTCCATTTTTATACAAAGTATAATATCAATTTCTAAAGATGTTATTGGGAACAATCTTATTAAATTTATGAATATTTTTAGTGATCTCTAGCTGCTTTGTAATGAAATTACAGTCATCTCTCTATATAGTCACACCCTCTATACATAACACCTTTTCCAGATTCCAGCTATTATGAAACATAGGAAATTTGACCTTCATAGAGTCACAACCTCTTTAAAGACACTTTTTTCTGGTCTCAAGGCGTGGTTATAGGGATAGGAATCGATTCTCTAGAATCGCTTAATTTAGAATCGATTAATTTTATAGAATCGATTAAACTTTTTTAATCGATTGATATTTGAGAATCGATTAAAATTTTAATCGATTGATCATGCATAACTAGTGTAATCTAAATACTAAACCAACAAGAAACGCTTATTTTCTAGTGGCAAATGTTACAACTCGCTCTCGCGCACGATAACCTATTTTGTTATTTAGCAAAAATATTAACAATACTTTAATCTTTGATTATTACCAAGAAACTATTTCCAATATAGAGTTTAATGACTCTGGTAATGATAATAATGCTAAAAATAACAATATTGATCAAAAGTTTGATGATATTCACGAAATAACAGAAAATAACGAAACAGATAAAGAGTTTCAATCTAATGACAATACTTTACTTTAATTGTCTCATAGTATCTTTGCCACTTAGTATCTCTATATTTTATATATCTACAAATTCAACTAATCAAAGCATATCTTAACTATTTCAACAAAAAAAATCAACATGAACTGAAAATCAAACCAAAAATCAGTTATGTATAAAATTACTTTAACCAAATTGCTTCTGATATTATTATTTGTTAAGTAACAGAATGTGAAAAAATATTTTCTTATTATAAAATTACATTTAATATACAATCATATCTCATAAATATTTATTTACAAAAATTATTATTAAAAAATAATAAAATTCTATATTATCAAAAATTCTGGTATTTTTATTAAAAATTATAAGTAATATAGCAAAAATATCTTACAGTACCAAACAAAAAAAGAAATACAATCAATATTTAGTAAAATTTATTATGAAAATTTTTTAATCTTTTTAATTGATTAAAGTCTTTGGTTTTTTAATTTTTAAAAAAATTCGAATTCAAAATATAAAGCTTATTTTTAACTTTATTATTAAGAATTAAAAATAAAATTTTATTAATAAATTTTATTTTTTATAATAAATTTAAATAATTTGTATTATTTATAGAAAATAATTATTATAATTATCAAAAAACTAATAATAAAATTATTTATTTAGTTTATAAATAACTTGACTTTTTTATATTTATTAAAAAAATAATTATTATATAATATACATCTCTATATTATATTATTGGAAATTGAAAAATTAACATTATTTCTTTATTAAAATTTGTTATTTATTAATAAATATGTTTTATTTTTATAATAAAATAAAATGATAATCTATATTTTAATATATATTCTTCTAGAATATTCTAAATAAATATATTAATTATTATTTTATTTTAATATAAAAATAAAACATATTTATTAATAAATAACAAATTTTAATAAAGAAATAATGTTAATTTTATTAAATTTTTTCAATTTTTAATAATATAATATTATTATATAATAAACTTTGATTAAATATTTTATTAGATCATTTATATTTAATATTATTAAATTATAAATATCTTATATTTTATTGGAAGAATATAATTATATGAAATGAGCAAATAAATAAGCAAGTAAATAAACAAACAAGTAAATAAACAAGTAAATAAGTGAATAAATAAATAAATATTGGACCAATAAAATTAAAGTGAATTAGCAAACATGAATTCATATAATTAATGAATTATAGTTTGAATTTGTATAAAAATAATATATATTATAGTTATTAAAGTTAGATTAGAACAAGTCTTTTGATAATAATATT